GCATCAAACAAACCCATGACAATCTTATCAGTATTCAGAAATGATTTGGGAACATGAATTTGCTTTCTGCCCCTACTCCTCAACAGAAATCTGTAATAACCCTTTTCCACACCTAACGGTACAGATGTATTACTTACACAGCGTATGGATATTTACAGAGTTCGCAGCAACCACAGAGAGGAGTTTGCAGATGGCCAAAGAAACTCTCACCCTCTGTTCCTAGAAAGCTTTCTCGAAACAGTTTTCAGAATGTCATTTCTCATTTGATTCATCAGCTCCCTTCTACGTCTTTCTGACTCTGTTCCTTTTTTTTCTTGCTGGTTCAGACCAGGTCAAAAAAAAGTTTGACGGATATTACAGACGGATGTATCACGATTTCTTCCAGCAGTTCCGATCACTAATCCCAAGCACGGTGAAGGTATTATTTGACTTGACCAAACTGATTGTGATGGGTTGCAAAGAGTCAGGACCAAATGTTCCAATCTAAAACATGTCATACTCAAACATATCTCCTAACAGGCTGCTAGTACTTTTGCAATCACCATTCTTCACCATTTAGGGAAATGCTGGTTTCCGTTCAATTCTGTTTCCTTGGAAGTATTACAACAGCTCTGGAAGACCCTCAGTGGTGGGCGGCGTGGGCCCTATTTCACTAGCAAGCACCCTGGTTAGGGTGTGGAGGTGACTTAACACTGCGGATAACAATCAAGGCAGATACAAAAATTTGACAAACAGAGAACGAGGAAATTGATGACTTAGAAACCGCACTTTTCCGAGACGACGAAAACATGGCAGAACATACACAGAACAGAGGAGTGCAAACAGCTACTGACATTCATCACACTTCAGTTTAGTACAGAGCTACAACGGTGGACTTATTCAGCTGGATATTATATCAGCATCATCTGGTTTCAGGCACTGTGCTAAAAATCGCTGATGGCAGATTCTCAGCACCTGACAGCACTCGTGTGTGACAGCATGAGAAACTGAGTTTTGAAGGGGTGAAGGGTTCAGACCAAAACTTACAACGAAACATCTGAAATACGCAGAACAGGCAGATGCAAGATAAGATTCGCTCTTTTTTTTTCAAAGCATAGTGTGAAGAGGAAAGATTTGGCACTGTTTAAGTTGTCAGTTACATTTAACAGGATGATGTGAAACACCCACGTGACAAACATTTTTTTTTAACTCCTGAAGAGATGCATTTTGGTAGTATTATGAAATCGCATACATTTGTTAAGTCAAAGTCAGGAATTCATTTTTATGGTTACTGTGCTGTGTTAAACTTTGTGTGGTTTGCATTTTGTAGCATGCTGTTTCGAAAATAAGGAACAAATTGCTAAAAACTCTAATAGACTTATATTGTCTGAAAAGAGAAGCAAGAATAGAAGTGCTTTAAACCTGCTTAAACATGCAAAAAATCCTCTGGTTGCAAGAAAAGTTGAACTCTGTAGAAGTCCTCAGGAAAATGACCCTACTCTTCACTTGAGTTAAATATTTTGAGCTTGTAACAGTTTGTTTTCCATTTATATTTCATCTAAAATCGTCTTGTTCTGCATTCAGATGAACTAAAACACCGTGATTATCCTTTGCAAGACCTCTAGCGTCCATGCAAAAATCCCTGTGACCATATAGACTTGTGTGTGACTTGTTAGACTTCAAAGAAGCGTAACAAATATGACCAAAATAACACCTCAATACATTTTTTTTGTCCCGTCTTCCTCCCCTCACTCCCAACCAGTCACAGCAGATACCTTCACAGCCAAATGGTGTAAATGCCAAGACAGTGCAATAAAAGCCCAACCAAACTGCATCCATCTCTTGCATATAGAACCGTACGTCTCATGACAAATTCAGTTCAGTTCAATTCATTTAGCATTTCTAACACCAGTAATATACTTTAAACACATCAACCTGAGGACTCATCAAGGTGGGGGAAGAAACTGACGGGGCTCCTGAGGAGGGATTTTCTTTTCACTCCTTCCTTTATATACAGACACAACGAAACACAACACACATTTTAATTTGTTTTGGGGGGTTTTCTGGAGTCTTTTGTTCCCACATGCTCTCCTGCTGTCTAACCCTAAACCCTAACCCATGTTTTTTTTAAATCTTTGATCCACAGTGACTCAGTCACAATTTTTTACAATAACATCTAAGTTTAAAAGTTTCTGAAAGAGTCCCCCCCCCTTCCTCCAAGAGTACC